AAAAGAAAAGAAAAGAAAAAAAGTCAGCTTTTGGTCTCCAATCTACCAGGCTTAGGCCTGGCTGTTCCTCAGATACATCCTAATTGGCCTCTGCATTTCTTTCATTACATTGCTTTTCCTTAACAGACTCTACCCCCTTTCCCACTTCCAACAGAACATGGCATTGAAAAGCAATAATAAAAGCAAGAAGAATGAAAAAAAATAATTCTTGTTGCCCACCTGCTAATGATTAGGTCTGAATAGATCATTCACTGTTGCCCAGGACATTACAATGGGACAAGATGGTAAAGGAAGAAGCAAAGAAATGCTTAGTTCACAGATAGGAGCTGTGTGTGCCCTGGGTGTGTAAACAACTCACGTGACTGTTCTGCACATGGACAGGTAATTAAATCTTTGCAGATTTTGTGACGGCAGTGGACACAGCGCCATTTAGTGAAATTATTCTGTATTATATGTGTAAAATCCGAAATCTAAACCCATTGTTGCCCTGAACTTGATTCTGTATGATACTAGACAGTTGAGAACCATCCTATATGACTACGCGCGTGAGCGTGTGCGCGCGTGTGCGTGCGAGAGAGAGAGAGAAACAGATACACAGACAGAGGAATGAAAGTTTACAAATTTGTTTTCCATTCAAATCATTCATGTCTATTTTGTTTTATAACATAAATTACAACAACCACAATGTAAACATTTCTCCACACTTCCTCTGTGTAATTCCCATTTCTATTAACCCTTCTACCCCTTATTTCCTTAAGGGCTTTATCCTTCGGACAAATGTTGCTCTCTGGTTGATTCTTCTAAGGTCTGGGTACCTCCCAGGTCACTTCATAGGCCTGACTACTGTTTGGCTGAAAGTTGAGCCATTGGGGGTGTGCTCTGTCCCATGACAAAAGGGTGATTGAGGGTATATAGTCTTGGGGGTGCACAGGTCTTCGCTAGGTAGTAATTGGCCATATCCTTTACAAGAGCAAATCACCAGTCCTTTCTTCCAGAGCGCTGCTAGGTTGGTTTGAACTACTAATCTCTACATTCTTCCACTCAGTGCCTTGTAATTGTAAATAATTCAAGGGAGCCTGTACAGCAGGTTTTCAGATGCTGCAAATCACACGGGAGGAGACTGCCCATCTTTCTCCCCTAGAGTTGTTAATGGGTTTGCACCACCAAGGTGGGTGGCGCCACCTTCAGGTTACTAGTGCAACTCCCTATAGGCTGCACCACCAGAGCTCCTTGCTGAAATCATCAGTGATTATTTGAAGGCTCTCAAGATTGTTAAAATGAAGAGTCCAGAATGAAGGTTGCATAGTGGAGTGTACTCAGGATGGGGTGGGGGTGGGGTTATTGTATACCAATGAAAGAATTTTCCTTTTACTTTTCAAAGAGAAGAGTGAACTGGGGGGTAGGGGTGGGCAGGGAGAAAAATCCAACAATGAATGAATGGAAATCCAAAATAGCTGTAAATGTTCATTAAAAGTAATAAAACAAAATTTAAAAAAGATTGTTAAAATGCAGAGTGTTTGTCTCCACAGCTAATATTTATTTGCAAATTAATAATCTCTTTGATTGTCTTACACTTGGTAACTCTGTGCTTCCACACACAAAATGTATCTGTCAGTGCTGAGCACATCAGCATTCTCTGTGCTGCCCAGGTACCTTGTGTACCAGAGACATTCACAGGTGCTTCTTCAGTGAACAGCCATTTCCTGTATCCTTTGATCTGAGAGAATCTGCATTCTCCTTTGGATTTTATTGCCCTTCTAATTGCTGACTCACTTCTGGAAGGAAACATGTATACAAATGCGACTTCTCCACCTCAGTTGGGAGGCAGAACATTTGCATCCCATCAAGTTCCTTTGTACTTCTGTACTGCCAATCTCTCTTTCTTAACATCACAGAATAGTTTTTCTTATATCTCAAATAAATGAAAAACTCTAATATACATTCTGTTGTCTATCTTCTTTCAGTCAGGGAGCTCTGGGGCCTCGTGAGTAAGGAGTTGTGCTGACAATCCAAAGGCAGACAGTTTGAGTCCACCAGCTGATCCACGGAGAAAGATAGGCAACCCCTCTTAAGAGATTTAGAGTCTCTAGAACCAGCTGAAGGATCAGATCTGAGTCAGTTCTGACATCATGACAATGATTTTGACTTTTTAAAATTTTTTGTACTCAATATAATATTTGTTTGGAACTCATTCACGTATTACTCTTTCATTCTTTCAAACTGTAACGCAGAATTCCAATGCATAAACATACTACAATTTTCTTATTCAATCTCCTGTGGATGGGTATTTGGCTTGTGGGAAGCTTTTGGATATTATAACTGAAATGGCTAAATGAAATCAGAGCTGCAACATGAACAAATACAAGCACAACCATCATTATTGCAGGATTATTCACAAAAGCAAAGAGGCAGAAGCAGTCCAAGTGCCCATCAACAAATGAATGAATAGAGAACCTGTGGTACTTTCACACAGCACTGAAAAACAATGAAGAACTTGTAAAACATTACAACATAACTTAATCTAGAGGACATTATGCTGAGTGGAATATTAGTTCAAAATGACAAAAGACTGTATAAAAACAGGATGGCTATGGAGGGGGCTAGGAGGGCAGGCAATGAATAAAGGAAGGCCAACCTGGAACAGAAATGCATAGCTGGTTGAACTAGGCAGAGGAAGCTGAGGACATGTTTAAACAGAGAAAAACAATTGTAGAGAGTTGACAGGACCAGGAGGGGAAGAAGAAGGAGCAGAGATTAACGGATGGGTAGGGCGAAGGGAAAGGGAGGGCATAGGGAGAATTTGCTAAGATGTAAATAATGACATGGTACAATTATAATCAATGTTACAAAACTAGTCATGAACATTCTTGTACAAGTGTTTTTGTGGTCATGCGTAAGAGGAATTCTACACAAAAGGAAAATTGCTGAGTCATGGGGTGAGTGTCCACTTTCTAAGAAACTGCTAAACAGTCTTCCAAAATAATAAAAAAAAAATTACGTTCCCACAGAGGGAGATGATTACAATAGTAACATATTGAACACTGATTAAGAAAATGTCTGACAAAATTTATTTCTTCTTCTTATACCAATGTTGTTATTGTTATGTGCCAT